GGTCTGCGATAGCTTTGAGGATGTCGCGGCTTTTTGGCACGAGGCAGCGAATCAGAGGCTGGCCCTGGGTCTGAGTCGCTGCCTTTCAAGCCTGAGCATCTGGCCAGCCGTTTGGCCCCGACAGGGCACTGCCATTTTCCAGAGCAAGTGTGGCTGTTCTGTGGTTTCCATTGTTTACGTGCTCGAGAACCCCGGCTTTTATTCCCTGGTTCCCTGCCCGCCTCCCACCAGTCTTTCAGGTCTCGTGTTTGGCCGAGAGCATCCCGGGAATCTCCAGTCACATCTCGCTGGTCCCAGCCACGTGGCTGGCCTGGGCTCCTGCCTGTGCCTGTTTGATGTGTGCCCCATGCACAGGCTGCCCCTTACCCAGAGGCTCTGCTCAAACGAAGGAGGGACCAGCTCTGGGTGCGACCCAGGGGGAGGCCACGCTCAGACACCCTGTCCTGATGCCAATCACCCGCCTTTGATCCGGCTGCCTTTCAACTACAGCTTCCATCTTCCCCCTGTCTCCCTGCAGGCTCCAAAGGAAGCCCTGTGCAGATGCCAGGGCACATGATAGGAAGTGCCACATCCAAGCAGATCGCAAATCTCAAGCCCTGGCCAGGATTTTCGAGAGGTAATTGAGGGTGTTTGCATTTTGCACCAGCAAAATCAGTACCGGTTTGTGCAGTAAGTCCATGGCTGCACTGCTGCCTAGTCTGGATGAGCAAATAGTCCTTGCTGAGAGCAAGCACAGCCTTTGGAGAGACAATCCAAACCTGAGATCTGAATCTCATCCATGTCAGCCCCAGAAAACTGGGGTTTACTTTGCTAGCCCAAAACCAAGTAAGAAATTCAGTCGCTGGAAACCAGTGCCAATCTCTTGATTTCAGTGATCTATTAGAGATGGGTGAAGCTGCATTCACAGCCCTTGCAGACCTTCCTGCTAAGGCAGGAAGTTTCTTCTAAGTGTATTTTCTATGCATCAGTACTAGAAATGTTAGCATTTGAGAGTTATTTTCATCTTACTCATAACAAGAATTAACTGAGATTTCCATAGGCAGGTTATCTTTGTGGACTGGGATTAATTTTACTTTGGTTTTTAGTTAGTAGGTTTTAAATAGTTGCTTTTCAATTTCTCCCCTCGATCCACATCAGGCTGGATATCAAACTCACAAGCATTTGGGAGACATTATTAGCCTAACCAGAATCCAGGTTTGACTCCAAACAGAGGCAGCTTTTTTATTTACTTTGAAATCCACAGCTGAAGCCCAGACTCATGTCTGGGTTTGGATCCAGGTATCCCATAGAGCACCAAAGTACAGAGGTCCCCCCTCCTCCACCTAACTCTCCAAAGTAGTCCAAAAGAGTGCATTCCTGGGCAGCCTGTTTCTAGGAACAGTATCAGTATATGAGCCTTGTAACTCATTAATGCTAATAGCAGTTGCATAATGCACAGTTGAAATGTGACTGTACAGCGAGCTAAGAACATATCCCAGCTACACGACTGCCTGGCAAAGTTTCTGATGAGCAGCTTTCCTCACCATTACAGCTGGATTTACCTTTGATTATAAATGCTCTGGAGGGGCCACATTTCAAGGTATCACAAAGTCATGCCACTAACTGTAGCATAATCCTCTGCCTAAATGCTGCACACGTGGCCACGGTCTGGAAGGAGGTGTGAGCTCACCTTGTCGTTGCACTCTCTGTGCAAAACCTCAGGAGATGCCCAGAAGGGTCACTCAGTGCACCTCACTGACAGGGAGCTCAAGCATCAGAGATGGCAGGTTGTCCTCGAGCCCTGGGGATTTCAGTGGAAACCTCCACCTTCCCAGGACCTGCTAACACCACCTGGTGTGCTGCACACAAGGGCACAAGTGACTTCTTTCATATCCTGCAGATTTGGTCGGTTCCCATGACCCAGTGCAGCTGTCTCACCTCGTGCCTTGCTAAGAGAACATTAACTATGCCCTCCTCAAGGCCCTGTTTCTCTTCTGCCATAGTCTCATTTTAATGCCCTTGACTGTCTTTGGATAAAAAAGCTTTGGACCGCATTTAAAATCCAAGGCCAGTTGTGTCCTAGGCTTTGAAGAGTATTGAAGGTTGCTCCCTCCCAGCTTCTGTGTCTGCTGCAGTGTCACTTCCATCTGGGAATGTGTTCTGCTTGTGGCTGAGTGAAATGAATGATGGGGTTGAATTATGACAACCTGGGGCTGTGGGAGGATGAAAAGTGCTGCTGCAACTTTGAAACAATGGAAAATACGAAATAAACCTCAATTCCCTGCTGGCACATATAGGCAGTGTAAATAAATCCCATAATTATGTAAGTAACAGACAGCTCCTAGGAGCTGGAGCACCCTCTAGAATAGCAGGCAGAGGAGTCTGCTACTCTGCAATAGAGGGATCATGCTTGGTTAAATTACACAATTCATTTAAATGCATGCTGTACAGTAACACAGTTTTTGAAAACCATATTGTTTGGCCCACCAAAGTGATTCCCAGAAGTAATTCCTGTGAGGAGCACACACCCAAGCCAGTCAGAATTTCTGGAATGACATTCCAGTTGCTCAACACCTGGTTATGCAGATAGAAGAGAAAACAGAGCGACGCCTTAGCCAGTGTAAGAGATAAGGGTGTGAGAATCCAAGCCTGGCTAGCACATGAAAGTGCCGATGACCTCGCCCCACGTCCAGGATTGCTCAAGCCAGAGGAGATGCCAGTATCAATACACACATCTTCTTTCAGAGTCACAGGACTCTTCTCAGTGCTGGCTGCTGCCCTCAGATCTTAACCCCAGAACGGAGGGAAAGCGCCACGCTTGCTGAACAACCTGCTCACAAAGCTGTTTGTCTCTGCAAACCGACTGCAGAGAAGGATTAAGGAAATTCTCTTTTATTATTCAATCTAGTGGAAGACCTTCCACCTCTTCAGATAATCTCACGTGCAATTAGAGGGAGGTCAAAGTAACGGGTTCTCCATTTTCCTCAAAATGAGACTCGTGGCTCCACTGTATTCCCTCCCATGGAATGACTGGGTAACCTTCCCTGGACCTAACAGAAAGCAGCTCCTCTGGGTCAAAATCCCTGAGTGTATTCAACTTCTTTTTTATAAAACAACTACCAGCTTGAAGCAAATACCATTTTGGATCTGTGTCCTCAGTACCTATCAGGAACGGGTTGAAAATTCTCATTTTGCATCCCTAAACAGAAGCAAGGATGTGTATCAATAGCAGTCAGTTAATTCATTGACTAGCAGATTTTGGCAGCTGTAGCCCAAGCCCTGAGGTAAGGTAGGAGGGGTAAGGGGAGCTGCTTTGTGTGGATTCCTCCTTGGCCCAACTGAGGTGCAGAGACCACTTTGCAAGAGTGAGAGGCAGGGGAACTGAGGGTGGGTACAAGCTGGAAATAGATGCTGGGTGAAGGGGCACCTAAATCCTCATGCCAGTGACACCCGGGGAAGTTCTGGAAGGAGTCCAAATCCAAGCAGCCTGGTGCTAACATAACAGGCCCAGCACGTGTCCTGCAAACCCCTGGCTGAAATAAAGACCACAGGTACCTGGTTGCAGGGCAGCAGTTCACATTTCAGGTAAAGGTTTCCCCTGAGCCAGAGGGAGACCTTCAGCAGCTGTTAGTGCCCCTCGTGCTACAGTTGGGTTCCTCACCTGGCTACAGCTTTGGCCAAAGTGGTTAATCCAAACCTGCAAAGGCAGCTTTGGTAAACAAAGAACTGTGAGCATGAGTAGGCAGGATCAGGTGAGGGAAAAACACAGCAAGTGGTGCCTCTCCCATAGGAAGGGGAGATGCTTCCAACAGGTGCTGGTAGCTGTCCCAAAAGCACTAAGGAGTCTCTCCATCAGTGAACTGGCTGGCAACTTCTGCTTTTCCTTATTAGCAATGAATCAAACCCTTCATTCCTATCCAGGAAGTTCCTAAGGTATATGTTTTTCTACTAACTTCTCTGTTCTCCAAGGAACAGATGGTAAAGGTAATAAAAGGTAATAAATTAGGAAAATCTTTTTTTTTTTTTTTTTACCTTTCTAACAGCTTCACAATAACTGACACACAAAAAAATCACATGGGAGCCTTCTCTGACTTGAGATATGAGGTTATAATAAAGCATGTCTGGGTGTCTCCAAATGGTGGGCAAGACCCTTAATTCTTCCTGGAAGGAAAGAATCTTTTAGTTTCTGGATCTGGCTGTCTAATGTCCTCACCTAAATATTTCTATCTGTAACTTGTCACCGTTTCTGTAACTTTCACAGTAACAGAGAGATGTGAGACACTGCCCAGCTGAGGAAACCCCCTTGGCCAGCACTAAAAAGTCCCCCAAGAGTTCTTGTTGCTTGTTAGCCACCTCTCTACCCAGAAGGCAGAGCATGGGGCAAGTGACCAAGTGTGTTCATTTTATCAGACAAACCTATGCCACTGGGAACAGATACATTAACAATTCCTTTGATTTAAAATGAAATAAAAGATATGAAGTCAATAAGAAGGTTTGGGTTTACCTCAAAGCACTGTTAGCTGAATGAGTGTGCCAGGGCAGCTTCCCTTCAGTATCACTTTGGTTCTATATGCTTTCTGGGAAGAGCAGTGGTTCCTGGGCCATTCGGTATTTGCCTGCATGGCTGGCGTGTTTCCCTCCTGCTCCCCTGCGCTGCTAACGCACTTTCCCTGGGAGATGGAATGTTTGCCATACCAATATAGCAACTAAATGAATGAAAGTTCAAGTGGGGCTATAAATAGAAAGGGCACCAGGTTTTCACAGTGCACATATAAGCTACTCCACACCCACTTCCTTTTGTCTGCCATTAACTCTGAGATCTGAAGCGGAATAACCTTTCTGCACTTTGGAAGAACAAACAGCAGAACAATTAAGAGACCAAACTGTTACGAGGAAGTCACTGAAGTGCAGTGTAGGAAAGATGGACAGACTATTTTAAATAGATAGATAGGTAGATAGATAGATAGATAGAAAGATAGATAGGCCAGAGTTGCCAAATAGTAAATTTTAGCAAGACTTACAGGAGAATGTGGGGACGGCTGAATAAAACCGCTTTGGGTGGAATTTCACTCTGCCCATCCTTCTTTAGCCGTCCCTCTCCTGCATGGTGTGGAGCAGTGCCAGAGCTCAGGCAATAATGGGAAAGGCACAGTGGCCCCTCCTGGTGGAAACCAGCTTCCAGGGCTGTGGGCTGCAAAGGAGGGAGAAAGATACTTGATGAGATGCAAAATAAGAAAGAAAAGCTAAACAAAAAGAAACAATTTTTTTTTTTTTAAAGACAAAACCTGTTTGCTTTTCCTACCAAAGACAGAGCACACTGGCACTATCCTAGCATTGCTTTTCCATGTAAATAAATGCCTTTTCATGTTGGCACAAGACATGTTTAGGACAACTATGGGTGGAAGGGTGGGGGTTACAAAGGCAAAAGAGGTGGGGAGGTGCTCCAGGAGGCAGTGTCAGCTCAGGACTCAAAGCTCACAAAGCCTTCCACTCCACTGCATTTTCTCATGCTTCCCCTGGGCTGGAACTGGCTAGTTCTCTCGAGGAAGGCTGTTAGTAGTCAATAATTGACCCTGAGATAAAAACCAAATAGACCTGGGAGAAAGTAGCTGAGTCACGCAAGGTTAGATTAGGTGGCAATTTACTATTTTTAGTTTTAGCTGTTGGATACCAAACAAAATCTTACTGAAAAGAAACTCTTGCCCCAAATGTAGGCTCATAAAAATGTAACAAGTTCACAGGTTGGGTTTATTATGGTTTCGGTGTGTGATACGAGAACTGCATGTACAAAGGGAACCTTTTCTCTGTTTAAGGAGGTTCTATGGAGGTTGGCATGGCCAACACTCAGCCTGGTGGGAGTTTCACAGTTTCCATGTGCAAGTGCAATAATGAGTAATAGAACAAAGTATCACAACATGTTCCAATGTGTCTGGTCGCCTGCTGAGAATTGCAGGGCATTTCTGCCCAGCTGTCTGAACAGAGCTCCTGGCTGATCCTTATCGTTTCGCTCCTCACAATGGAGGTGGCTGTACCTTTTTTTTCCTCTTGAAAACTGTTGAGGAAATTAGTTTGAAATGCTGACAGAACAAATTCCTGCCTTTTCTTCTGAGCCACTGGCCATGCCAGATACTTTCTCTCTCATCCCCTTTACCTCAGTGTGCACTGTGCTGGGGCTGGCTGGAGAGGTGACTGCTGTTCACACTGCTGAGCGGGTCTCTCCTGCAATGCCCTGGTGCATCAGCACTTGTTATCCCTGGGTCTACATTTACCCAGTCACATGGTCACTGCCAGTCTGTTTTCTCTCCCATCTGTCCCAAAACAGCCCTAAAGGGAAGTGCCCTCCATGAGAAAGGAACTTTAGCTGTGTTTAGAAAAGTGCTGCAGCGCAAAGCTGCTTATCCCAGGACTTGCACGACTGTACACAATGTGAGCAAGGGAATAATCTGTCTGGGAAGATGCTGCTGCACATGAAAGCATCTGCCTGCAGCTAGATTCCATCAAAGAGCAGATCTGCGGATTGATTTTCCCAGAATGACATCTTCCATCTGCAGAGCACTCAGAGGCTCTTTTATTGGCCCCGCTGTTGTTCGTGATTCAAGCAACATGATGAAACAGCTCACAAAAAGGCACTCAGCTCCCAAACACTGCCCCAGCAGCACAAAAAGGCCCAGGATGGGGTGATGGCAGAAGCAGAGCCGCGGTGCAGGGGCAAGGGAGGAGCACAGGAAATGCTGTGAGGACAGGCAACGGGAGCGGTGACGTCCCACACTGGCAACTGCATTTCCCAGCCTGTGTGTTTATGGAAGCCCACCTCATGTTCTGGGGACAAAGGCCAAGAGAAGCCCCTTGTGCCAGCAGAGCTCACCTGAGCAGGGCACCAGGAGCGCCGCAGCTGCTGGCAGTGAGAGCTGGCACGTTCGGTTCCTCTTTCCGTCTCTGTGCTTGAGCTCTGCACATGCTCGGGCACATGTTTGTGCAGTTTTATTTTATTTGCAGTGATGTCACAGGCAACCCCTTGATGACTTGTGACCCACAGCAGGCCAGGTACCACTGGCTTATGAAAGGAGAAGAAAGTCACGAAGAAAGCTGCAATAACAGTAATTAAATAAACTCAGCAACTAAAAGGACAGAAGTGGCACATAATTTCATAGTAAGCTGCCATGGATATTTCAGGAGGAGACAGTGAATAAGGGAGGCTTTTGGTGTACCTAAGAGATTTGGACACAGCAGAATATGTTCCCTGGGGCTGAGCACCTGAAGCCTGAATAGCCACATCAAACATTTTTGGGGCATAGCACACAGCATGTCAATTTGCCAGGGACTGGGCTCTGCCACGGGATATGCTAATAGTGCACAAGAGGTCTGAATGCATCCCTGGAGTAACCACACAAATTTACATATCCTTCTTCAGAAATGGATCTTATTAGACAGCCTGAACAATGTATTTAGCACAAGTGTGCTTTTATGTCCTCAACCTACCAGAAAGCCCTATTAGATCATTATGCTGCTGAAATGTAGTCCCTCACATGTCAGAGAGAAGCTATTCCTGGGACATTCCCTCTGCTTTTAATTGATGGGAAAGGAATATGTCGTTCCCCAAAAGCATTTCTTACTGATTCACTTTTCTTTATCATCTGATTTACAGGTCTGATCTTGACTTCTCACCACACCCAGATCTCCCATTGACTTCAAGGAACAGGGCTCTGTGGGGGCAGTGTGAAAGTCACTCAATAAAGGTTTTCAAGAGGAAGCTGCTGAATTCATCAACACCAGAATTTACATAGATCTAAAAGATGCCAGCAGGTTCGCTGTGGCAGGTATGATGGGCTGTGTCAACAGAAGTGGCCCGATGCCGTGAAGAGGGGCCGTGAAGAAAGGCCCATGTGTTTGCAGTGACAGCCCTTCCCACTCCCCACAGGCTGGCACGTCCAGTGCGTGCACTGACTGCGTCAGCAGGGACTCCCCTCCTGCACTGCCGGGAGGGGAAGGAGCTCCAATAAACACCACTTGCTGCTCAGGGGTGACTGGGATGCGTACAGACACAACACCCACTGCACAGTGACACCAGAAGCCGAAGCCTCTAAGAGAAGCCAGAACGCACTGTGATTATTTCATTTTCTACACAAAATATTTGCCAGACACTCAGCTAATCCTCAGATCAAATTAGAGATCTCTTGTGCGAGATGCTCCATAATCACAGAAAGCACGAGCTCCCTTTAGAGATGGACAAAACCAGGAGTTACAAAGGGCTACACAGAGCCACGGGCAATGCTGCAGCAAGGGAAAGCCTGATCTTGGAGAGACACTGGGACACACTGAGACTTTTTCATCTGCATCCTTATTACATGGCACATCCACAGCAGAGTGGTCTTGTGTCTGGATAAACCTAATACTGCAGTGATTACTTATAAACACTGCTTCTGTAAGATTTGGAGGGGAAGAAATCTTTTCTTTCTGCTGAGGAGAAAGAGAAATGACACCCTCGAACAGCATAATTTGTATAAACTATTGTGCCTTTTACCCACGGCTCATCTGCCAAGTTCTCTTGTTTGGGAGGAGCCTGCGTGCGTTTTGATGTGCAAAGTAGGATAATGGATCACCATTATTAAAGGGCTTACAAATTGGGCAGGCAAGCCCCAGGTGAGAGGTCACTCTGACTGTACCAAAGGAAAGCTTGAGCTGAATGAGGAAGCTTGGGTTTGACTGAGACGACAGGGAAAAGAGGTGTGCTTTGCAAGACTGCAGGTCTGTGTGTCTGCACAGAAACCAGCTACTGCTCTTGGGTTTGTTCTCAGCTTCTCACTCTGCCCTTTGTGGAGTGCACTGAACACGTGTGACAACACAGTTCTGCCCACCCCGGGCTCCTAATAAATCCAGCTGCTGAGAGAGGAATGGGAAACAAGCTCCTCATCCTGTGGGGCTGGGGTGGGGTAAGGAGCAGGAGGAAAGCTGTCTGAATGACATGGGAAGCTTGAGCTGTCCTTCCCAGAGGGTGAAGTCCTGGGATGGAGATGGAGCCACAGCTTCATTTGTTCCAGAGAAACAGCCCTACACAGACAGCTGGTTGCCATGGGTGTTTGGCTGAAGGGTCACATCATAATAACAGCAACGATACTTGTTTAAAGTAGGACAAGTGCTGCAGCTGAAAGGGGTGCCAGCCCTTAGGAAAAAAATCCACCGTTGTGCCAGGGCAGAGCTAATAAACAAGACTGAGGTGTCAGCTTACCTGCTTGGAGCCTATTGCTGCTCCCCAGTGCTCAGGCTGGCATTGTCACCAGTATCAGGGGTGGAAAACACAGGCTCCAGCCACAAAAGAGAAGTCTCATGAAACAAAACTGGAAAGAGGAATCAACAATTTGGGTTTCCTAGAAGGCTGGGGAGGGCCTTAATCCAGCAATTCCCAGAAAACAGTCCGTAGTGTCACTGGCTATGGTGACAGCGCTCTCATCTCAGAGCAATCCTTGCCTTTTACAGCTGAAAATCCTGCAATTATATGAGATTCTCACCTTCCATTTTAAAGAAAGAAAGGAAGAAGAACCACCTCTGTAGCCCACAGGATTACAGAAAGATATTGAAATGGTTGACCCCTGAATTCTGAAGGCTGATCAGCAAAAAAATGCAGTTCAAAATATGTAGGCTAAAATACTGTGTCATATCAAGTTTACACCAATTCTAGGAGCTTTTTGAGGGCTCTACTTGTAATTTCTGAGTGTGAGGGTTAGTTACACTGTGCTGTATAACAGCCATGCTTGTTGTCCTAAAAATTCCCTATAAATACACTTCATTTACAAGCAAAGAAATGCAAATCTAACTCCTGACTCCTTGCTCTTTGGCCCCAGCCATGCTCTGGCAGCAGTAGTCTAGACAGGACAATTTGGGGTGGCAGCCTTACTTAAGGCCTCTGGAGGAGCCTCAGGTACACATAAGCTTTCAAGCTCTTGTGTTCAGCCTTACCTTAACCCAAACCAGAGAGGCTTCATTTAGTCTTTAACTCCTTCCCTTCATGGCCCTCACACAGATGTCTTCCTAGAACAGAACACTCTCCTCCCCACCCCTAAACATCGCTGTTCTCCAAGCTGTCAAAAGCTTTGCCTATTTTTCCTTTACATTTCATCAGACTGTGGCAGTGAAGACCCTCCTCAAACTCTCTAGCCTGGATGCAGCACGAGTCTTCCTCCTCCTACAG